GTTTGCTGAACTTCTCGCTATGCAAACCTCGGTTATTGGGTGTAAAAATTCTGCTGACTTGCTGTGATGTATGTCCCCCACTACAACGGGTTCCTCAGCGCATCAACGTGAGCTGCAAGATGGGGTGCAATGGTCTTCCTCCAGCTCTCTTAAGCTATATTCATCTTACTGCAGTAATTAACCTTTTATTTTCTACATTCCGCTGTTGTAGTCTCTCATCGCATTCTCCCCTACATATACTGGAGACGAAAATCAATTATCCAGCTTTTCCACTGCTAAGTATCTCTCTCATTGTCTCCCTCTTTGTCCCAGAATGTTTCTTGGTCCACATATGTCTGTACGATTGTTCAAAAAGTCAGAAAGCTATTTTTTGTGTCCTTAGACTTAATGTGCTTGCAGTACCTTGTACTTTGATATGCGGTTTTGTGACCTCGTAATATTCCCAGTTGGCTATAATACTCCCCTGTCCCTTAACCTGGACTGCTTTAGAAAGACTTCTTCTCATTACTGTGATATAGGAAGCACGTTTTTCGATGCAGCAGTTTGTCTAAGAATCCTTAAGTTGATTTGAGCATTACTAGAGCTTTTGCTGACTGCAAGAATAGTTCTTCTATCTGACAAGTGGATGGATTTCATGCACTTCCCCATGAGCTCACCAAAACGTTCTCCTTCTCCTCTACCCGTTCGAAATTCGAATGTTTATTTTCACGCATATTATAGTATCGTAACACTGCTTTGCCTTGTCGCTCAGTTTGCTTGTTGATACTGCAAAAGTCACCAACAAGCAACGCAGGTGTTGTAGGAGAAAGAGCCCCGCTCTTCCCACTTTTCTACCTAAGCATGCCTATTGTTAGTACCAGCTCGGTATCCGCAGTAGTGGGGTAAATGCTGAACTGAACGCATAAGGGTGCATCAAGTTTATTTCTTCCAGACTTGCTATGAGCCAAGCGGGTTCAAGTATTGATTTCAGGTCTTTGGAAACGTCTACATTTGATCGGCATCCATGGCGAAACCCGCTCACGAAAGCAGTTGCTGTGGGGCAGGGAAACCACTGATGCACACGAAGAAGGAAGGTAAGTGGGGAAGTGACGTATCGATGGAGTGTATTCCATCGACGTAGAGCTCATTGTGCTCTATCACGTGGTCTCGTGTGTCTGCCTCAGGCAGGCTTAGGTATCCGAAAGTTAGCCTACTCTGGACCAGTATCTAAACGACGACAGTCGCCTCCACTAACATAAACAGAAACGGCGCATCGTTGATAGGCACACTGCATACAATTTGCTAACTATATGCTTGCTTGCTGTTCCATTATTTCAGGTGATCGAATTGTTATACTTTGTTAATACTTACGCTGTCATCTGATTTCAATGGCTGAATGGGCTTCTATCTAATTACACACGTCGAATAAACAAACTCTGGTTAATGACGTTAAATGTGATCCCATTTTTTTACTTTTACCACCGATGAGTGTACCACGAATATGTTACTAACGAATAAGATATTGGTCATGTCTGATTTCGTGCGTCGCCATAAATTCGAGAATAAGTTATATTCTATTTATTTACTGTTTACTACGTATGCTTATTTAGTAGAGTTAAGGTGGCATATCCGCATGCCTTATTCCACTAGTTTTGGGTATTTGACCGTTGCTTTAGGTCCCCGGTTTGTCTGGGCTTTAAGGTTCAGTTGGCTTAAGTGCCTATGTGTCTAACACGCCGCTTCCGTTACGGGCTCCAGAAGACACTGAATCGTTGCTGGGGGCGACAGGGTGCACGGTTATTGAGGTTGTATTAGGCGCAAAATGGTTATATGCACATGGTTTGATTGCGAAGCAGGCTACTTCACAACAACCGCTTTGTGTGCGCCTGGTTGGCCAAACACCACTTGGTTGTGCTTTCTTATGAAGGCTTGTGGGCCGGCTCCTTTTTTGAAAGGTGGGTCCCATCCGCTTGCCACCCGGAAGTTTCCCTTCGGAAGTACGCCGGATATGGTGTTTGCTTGTGCTTGGATTGGTGGATGATGCAGCGATAACCAACCAAAAACTCTCTGTAGGCGCAGGCATCCTGTGGCCTTCCTATGGAGGCTACAGTGAAAGCACATCCGAAGCCAGTTGCCGCCAACCATGCATGTGTGCGCCGGCATGGTGGGTGAATTTGTTAAGGTGAAGCAGAATTCGCACTTCGTCTGCAAAGTTTGCTATCGTATTAAGGGATAAAAATATATTCTCAAACTGGATGATATTCATAAATTGGGAATGCTCCTTCGGTCAGAGAGGAGGAGGTGACTCTATGTATTAATGGGTCTTATCAGGGACATGGCAGTGTTGTTAAGTCGAACTTGTGGATTTTACAGGGAGAACGCATGCCAGGTGAAACCGAACCACATCCTAGCGCACTACCGCCATGCTATTCGTTGTGACGGGATTAACCTAAGCCACCCAGCTAGCATCGCTGCAAGTTTGTTCGCCTTGCCAGCTAAAATAAACCTAATCATCTGTGAAAATTGCCCCCGCCGTTTCCAAATATGTATGGCAGCATTCATCATTGGACTTCATTGTGTAAACTTTATAATAACTCTAACATATGTTTGACGACATTAACTTGCATAAGTGTCCTAATTATAGGAAGTATATTTAGATTTCTGCACTTGAATTATGTTATCTGGTAAAATTTTGCACTGCCATATACTTTGGACCCTATGTAAATTAGTTGTGAGAGGTTAAGAAAACGTGGTCAAGCGGAAAAAACAATCGGTTGCGTTAGCCGGATGTTACTGTAAAAAATTGGGCACATTACGAATTTGCAGTTTGTGGAATTGTTAAAGTTAATGACCTATCGATTTATTATTGGCTGTGGCAAAAGCTCTTCAGTTGCACCTGGTTGCGTGTTTCACTAGGTGTCTGTATCCATTGAGAAACTATTGTGTGCGCGGTCGTCGAGGCATAACGTTTGTGCATCCCGCGAATTTGGATTCTTGGACCGCTGGTGCTCAACCTCTACGTAAACAATCTCTCTGTGTAGTTTGGGGTAACCTCAGCACTATTTATTAACTAAATCAAGCTTTATCCTCGATGAAAGGAGCTACACCTGTACAGAGGTAAGCAAATATTTGTCATCGTTAAAGAAAGACTGTAAGTCTATGTACATTAACCGTTAGAGTTATGTAATGGTAAGTAACCTGGTTGGTACAAGGTTTCATAATGTTTTACTGAATGGTTGCATATTTGGTGGCATGTTCAGTGGTGGCAGCAAGTATGGTGCAACGGAGAGCGGTGAACAACAGATGTGCTTCTTTTACCTAAAGTTTAGATGACGGTTCTAATAAAGCTGAAGATGGCTTTCCAATTTCCGCAGGCATAGCATCCCGAGAACATACCTGACCAAAGCTGTTGGACGAAATATTGTGGTTTTTGGGTTACATGCAATGGAAAGTGTCCATATGTCTATATGCCGTTAGGGTCATGAACTTCCGATATTGAGAATATTGCCAGTGTGAAACATTGGGCAGTGACTTTATTTTAGTAATGAGTCACATCCGCGGTTGAGATGAACCTTGAAACTGTCCTTGTGTGTCCTAAGGCTATACAGGGCTCTCTGGATGGTCTCTGGACCTGGTCTTCTCCAGGACTACTGCACAGAAATAGGCCAAGTTGTGCCGTAGTTCGTATTGAAGCAACATAGCCGTTTCAGTATGCGTGCTTGGTGAGGTGGAATACTACTTGTTGCAAACTAACTTGCCACAGACATCGCCCCACAACTTTACACGGTGGTGGCAAGTCGAGGAATGTTGTACGTAGCGGTTCCGTATACGTAGCTAATGTGTCATACTTTCCCGAGCTTAACAGCTGACATCTTTTAAAATTATTCTCAGCATTCGTTTGGTCCCGTCAGGAAGATTGCGCTCAGGCTTGCCCGCCTGGCCGCGTCCAGACTAAAAGTTGGCCGATGGGGCGTTACTACAGGGAAGCATATGACGCAAACTAAATTTCGCTAGAAATGTAAATAAACACACATTGCGCGCACCTAATCCTTACGAGGTGCATTCAACAGACTTCCAACCGCTTCCTGATATCACATAATACCTAATAGCAACTTGGTTGGACGCTCAAGATTTGACCATACTAAGTAGGTCAACTGTTTTTGGTCTCTGCGGTCACTTTGTAAAGACGCACAAACTAAACCCATCCAAAGTAATACGGAAGAATGGTCATGACTTCAAGCAGTCGAGTTCTGTAATTTCCTGCCCGGATACGTCGTTGGAAAATATATGGTAACTGTTAGAGTAATTTCCATCGATGAGAGTGGTTGGGTCGAGAGTGGCTATGGGTTTGGGCGCAGTTAATTTGTGTGTCGTACTTGGCCAAGGAGGCTGGTAGGCCAGAGAGATACACCCGAGATGGTGATGGTTTCAACCCAACCACCTAGTAGGATTTGGAGCTGGATTGAACCTGCGCCTGGCTTACACTTCTTAGAAAAAAGGACTGCGTTTTAACAGCTTTTGAGGAAAGACCAAGTAGATGGCGAAGGATTGGATGCCGTGACCACGAGCAAAAGCTGGCTGCTTTAACGCAATCGGAAGCAACTACAGGAGGCTAATAGAATGGGAATGGACAATGGTATTCTAGGCTAAACCTCACGACCTCTTAGCTATTAAATTGCATCAAAAACCCAGTCGCGCTACGATAGGGTTTACTGATGCAGACACAACCACTTTAGGAAGAAACATATCAGCTTGCCAGCTTGGCTTCTGAATGCACTTAACTAGACGCTTATTAGACGAAAGCTTGTGGTGCTCCTTAATTCAAATTACTATATGGCGTCTAACGTAAAACGAAAACTGTACAACAAATGCAATAAACAATGATAAAAAGTAACCATGCCACCATTTTTAATGTTTAAATAATAGATGTGCACTGTTTACATAAGCATAAATAAATGGTTTGTTTTAACGGACCATTATTTAGGACGTATTTGTTTGGCATGTTTTTAAACCTGCGACTTTTTTACGTTCGCCATTACTAATAGACAATTTTTTAAACGCTATAGCATAAATACGAGGTTTGTGTAAGCTTATTTAAATTGGTTTTTATTTTGTTTATATATATATTTTTAGGTTTTATTCGTATATTTATATTTTCATTGTTTCCTTTCACTACGCCTTTAACCTTGTTCGGTTGGTGCGTTACGACGCGATCGTTAATTTGAAGCTTTCCTAACTAGGTATTTCACGAGCCGCTTAAACAGCTGACGCATTTTTTAGATTCAGTGCGCTCCTCCTTTGCGTTAAGGTAAACTGCGTTTCTCAATAAGACATTTAGTTTCTCACAAACACGGTCTTCCAAATTGCCATATTGAAAGTCATGGGAATCGCTTTCACTTTACAAGCCTTAGATGCTGTGGGGCTGCTTGCAGGTGAACGACTTAGCTTATGCGGACAACTGTTCCGTCACCTGTGACAATTCCTTTACTTGTCAAACCGTAGTAAACAAATTAGCATTGGCTGTCAGCCGTTTCTTGCTATGCTTTGCACCCTCCAAGCGCGTAGGTTACCTGCAAGGTTTGCAGCGATCACATTCTACGCTGACCCCTTGTAGGGTTCAGCTATTAGTCGTTCAGAAATTCAGTTACCTAAGCATTTGTATCAGAACCTGTGTAATTTAAGAAGTAGTGGTAAATCGTATTGCAAAAGCACAATGCGCTTTTACTAAACTTCGCTACTTGTGACGCTGGCACGACGTTACTTACTCCTTGAATAGTAGCGTGTACAATGCAGCCTTACGTCAGCTCTAGTTTACGGTTGTGAAACCTGGCAAAATAGGTCGGCAGACGTAAAGTGGCTGGTTATGTTCAAGCACTGGTGCATTCGCAGTTTAGACAAAACAGATGGGAACATAACATGTGTAACGTGTGCGCTCAGTGCCTAGTTTACAATACATGAAGAAGGAACTAAACCGCTCAACACCATTGTTTCATGATCCAGGCACCAATGGTTTCGTCATGCTTTGCGCACGCCTGCACCTCGACTCCTGCGAACTGCGTTGTTTGCGCGCCCGGAGTGTGGGTGAACGAAGGTAAAGTAATGCCAACTTCCTACGTGGTCAAAGGAAATGAAGGTCCACAGTGGGAAAATGTCCCCGGCTGGAACTTTTCGACATTCTTGTTAGTGTCTGGAATACAATGTACACTTTCGGCTGGATGCATTTGTTGACACGATTAGGAGCAAACACCAGTAGTGGGTGTTATGCGTTTCCTTGTCCCTCACTTCCATCGACAATCCTAGTTGTGCTTCATAACGTAACTTGTTTATTCTCGGCACAATAGCCGGTTGCTTGCTCTTCGGGACAATGTCCATCCCCAAAGGAAGTATCAGCTGGCGTGCCTTATTATGCTTTTTGCCTCTGCTTACGTGCTTAGGCACAACGGCTGATATGCATCCCAACTTTAATTAAAGTGTGTAAGATAATGTTGAAGGCGGTTTCCACTGGATAGCCACTAGTTATGTACGAATGTCTGAAGGCAAGCTGCATTGTGTTTCTTGAAAAGAAGCAAATCACTTGGAGGAAGTCATGGCTCGACATACATTTTGGTTCCTAAGGATTTCCAACAGGTAAGCAAACGTTTGAGTGCAACAGTATTAAAGGACCTTTGAAGTTATACACGTCTAACCATGCATTGTCTATAGCCCAGGCATGCTAACGTTGTTTTACTTGCATAAATGGCCATACGGTTCACTTCCCAGGATAATTAAAGAACCTGCGGTATCACCTGGTTCAACATGCATTTCTTAAACAGACGGCGGCGTTACAGCATACTACCAATATACGTCGTAACGCAGCAGATTTACCCAGCTTTCCCTGTAACTTGTTAATCGCAAAACCGGAGGTACTGTAGTTTCGTTATTTCAATAGAGTTTCGTATCTAGTCCAGGTGCGGGATGAGCTTTCGACACTCGAAAAATTGAATATTCGACCGTACTAAACATACATTTAGTGCTACAACAATTCTTGACCTGTAAGGGTACAACAAAGAGTTGATAAATATTCAAGACAACAGCAGCCGGTCCGTGGCCGAGTGGTCTGCACGCCTGACTTGCAGTCATAAGTTTACTGGGTGGTTTCCGCGTGGAAGCTGGTGTCCTCGCGAGTAGTGTTGGGTGCGCGGTAGCGAAGCGCCGTTAAAGCAGGCAGCCAAGGAGTTAGTTATTGCTTGTTAAGACAACAATATGCCCATAATCTAAGCCTGTTAATGCAGTCCTGGCCGACCGAGTTCAGGTCAGAAAAGCTGTATTAGCTTTGGGAGCTACGACAAACAGTAAGCATGCCTAAGAGTGTAGGTGAATTTGTGAATGCTTCTGGCTAGTAAACCTGATAAACAGCTAGTGCACTGTCTAGCCGGACTTTATCAAAGCCATCGTCTGCCTGGATAAATACATCCTCCATCACAGAATGCAAAACTGTGGAGTTGCGTGAATCGACAATGTCCTCTGCCAACGGAGGCTGCAGATGCGTGTTATCGGATCACTTTACCACCCAAATGATATGGCGTGCAGGGTTCTACAGGGTTCAGTGCTGAGACCGCTTTTATTTTTTGTGTCCTCCAGTAAACTTGCAACAATTACCTTGGCGACTTTTTCTAATTTCCGCTACTGTTGACAAGATATGGAAAACAACTAGCAGCACTGAACATCAGCATCTTTCCGAATTGCCCATGGTGGTGTTTATTAGTGGTTGGCAAGAAAACTACTACATTTAAAAGCTAATAAGTGCAAGGTAGTCCGCAGACTTCATCATTAAAAGAGCGTGTGCTTACTTAGTCACTACCACTTGCAGAAATTAGCCCAGGAGTTTGAACTCAGGACATTAGTATAGAACAACCTCGACTGTTCGAAACAATCCGGGATGTTGAAGACCAAAAACTAACACATTAGTCTGCTGCGCATACTGTTCTTTTGGATTCAGCCTGCTGTCTTTCAACAAATACTTAACGTACGCAAGCTCCAGGTGTGGCATTCCTTGCGGATGCATGACCTCACTGCACGTGAGATTCCACCACGAGTAGCACCTAAAAACAGTAGTGTTCTCTTCCATCCACCCTTCCAATTTATATTTACACCCATAGAAACGTCAATGCGCAACGGTATGCTGCGGATAGAAAAGTCAAAGCTTAAGGTGTCCCTTCAACTAATCGGTCAGACGTTCCGCAAAGTAAACAAAAAATAAAAAATACTGTAGACAATGCACTTGCTGATCCAAAGGTTGTCCGACTAAATCGTTTGTACGTGGTATTATGCGCGAGACGAGACCGTCATGTTTCAGTTACCCAGCATATTAAGTGTGGGTTGATGTGTTTCGGTCGTGAAGTATTTGCAAGGATCATGCGTGTTATGTGATGTGCTGCAATACGGCCAGGGTACTATCGACACGACCCTAATAACAAAGCAAACGTAGAGGCTGGAATAACAGATTCTGGGACGGAATAGTATGTGTAGCAAACACATAGACAGAAGAAGTTCTGCCTACAGTCTTGTCAGTAGTTAAGTTATGTGAGTGTAAGACGGTATCCTCAGTCTGCTCTAATGGCCAAATTTTACTAGGTGACAGCGCGTGTAAGCAGTGCTGCTTAAAATCTCATAATCAACGTGATGGTCATCATCAAAACGTCGATAGTGTTCTTTACATACTCCCGGAATACTCACCGGTTGCTCTTAGGTTAAGTTGTTTTTACGCTTAGCGTTTCGTTGCCCCTGCGTTTTGGGATTACTAGCTGCCAAGAATATTAAAGTGTGAAGTTCTACAAGTTTGGTGGTGCAGGTTAAAACATTCCATAACCTGCGATTTGCAATACTGGTGATGCCAAATCTACGTAGAGAATAATTTAAGTAGCTAATGACAGCTGCAGTAAACCCCTCGTAAACTCGGTACAGTTCAGAGGAGAGACAATTATGGGCAATTAGTCAGGTTCACCAGCAAACTCGGGTAGTATCCATGTAGACGTCATGATTTACACCTTGCCATTAAGTCAGCAACGCTTTGTGGAGAGAAGTGGAAGACAAGTTTCCTTTGTTACAAACGACTGGTGGAAGTGATAATACCCGCATCACTGTTTTGGTATGAGTACGCACTGAAGATAAGATAGCAAATGGATCCTCCGGTCGTTACAAATGTCTTTTATACATCTTCCCGGTGCCGGGTCTCCTGTAACGTAAGTACGTCTTGCTTTTGTGTAGGATGGAAGGTGTTAACGAGCGGAAATGGGAAAATTAAACAACATTTTGTTGTGATCCCGTTACCACTGTTATCATGAATCTGCAGAGCTCCACCGTCTCATCACGAGCAGCTGCACAACTAAATACCGCTTAATTAGGATGGCCTAGCACTGACCGCCATAAGTGTTAAAAATGAGGTCAATTCCTTGATTACAGGATCAGCGAGAAAGCGTCCAGTTGTGGTTTTGTTGTAAATACTTGGCTTTAAAATATTTACATTTGTGCTTACTATTTGTATATGTTCACGAAATAGTGATGCGGACATTGCTCGTACATAAAAGCACTCCAATGTTAATGGAATATTTACTCAAAAGGATGCTGTGTGTTTAATAATAGCTTATCAGTGCAGCATGGTACAAACACACGTGTGACGTGATTAACTTTAAACAAAACGCATATCTTACCAATATACATGAAAGCACACCTTTGAAAAATTTGGACACGCTACTGAGCAACTATTATTTGTTTCCTGTTATTCCTTATAACAGACTGATCAAGTCAGATAAGGTATGCCTTGTGATAATCGAGAAATAACTACAAATGTATTTCTGAAGAGGCAGTTACGTGTGTTTCACTCAGCTTACTCCAATCTGATAATAAGAGGACACCTATGAGATTTTAAAAAATTTTGATGAGTAAGCCGTGGCCAAAGGATAAAATGTTCAAATTTGGCTGAATCTCGGTTACTTCTTAATACTTTATTAAGCAAGTAATGCACAGACTGAGTGGCTCGTCCAAGTATTGACCAAGTAAATACCATTATTTATATCTTGTACCTGTATTGAGTGAAATT